CTCTGCAGTTCATCCAGAGTGATCATGGGCCTCTTGGCTGCATCTCTGATCAGTCTTCTCCTTGTTCCAGATGAAAGTTTAGAGGGACGGCCGGGTCTTGGTAGATCTGCAGTGGTCTGATACTCCTTCCATTTCAATATGATTGCTTGCACAGTGCTCCTTGGGATGTTTAAAGCTTGGGAAATCTTTTTATATCCAAATCTGGCTTTAAACTTCTCCACAACAGTATCTCAGACCTGCCTGGTGTGTTCCTTGGTCTTCATGATGCTCTCTGCGCGTTGAACAGAACCCTGAGACTATCACAGAGCAGGTGCATTTATACGGAGACTTGATTACACACAGGTGGATTCTATTTATCATCATCAGTCATATGGGACAACATTGGATCATTCATAGATCCTCACTGAACTTCTGGAGTGAGTTTGCTGCACTGAAAGTAAAGGGGCCGAATAATATTGCACACCCCACTTTTCAGTTTTTTATTTGTTAAAAAAGTTTGACACATCCAATAAATTTCATTCCACTTCACGATTGTGTCCCACTTGTTGTTGATTCTTCACAAAAAATTATATATTTTTTATATATCTTTATGTTAGAAGCCTGAAATGTGGCAAAAGGTTGAAAAGTTCAAGGGGGGTGAATACTTTCACAAGGCACTGTATTTAAAAACTGCTGCAGAGTTTTACTCTGATGGACCAAAATGATTAAAATTCTCAGTATATTGATGAGAAATGTGTGTTTACTCATTAACTCGACATTCCTAACATTCATGAAAACCCTGCACTGACATTTAGTTAAAGATTAATACAAATACATAAACTCCTAAACAACAAAAAACAACAAACTCAAACTTCGTGAGACCTTGTACCTCTGCATGAAGAGCAAGAAAAGTGGAAGCATCAGTGCGTCGATTAGATTATTTATTTAAAATCCATCGATGTGTCAACTATTCTGTCAATAATTTGATATCGACTCAAATTTACATTTAAAAACACTGTTCTTTGTAGAAATAATGGGTATTCTACAAAACGTTCACATCTAAATAAATAGAAACTTCCATGAGTTCAGGCTGCACTGCGGTCAGATTATCTGTCAGCCTTAATCTCAATATGCACGGTCCTCATCTGGCTTTAGGGATGAAGAAAATATAATCCATCAGGAAACCTAAGGAACCAGAGACAATGAAATCCAGTCAGCTCTTTGTTGTTCTGCTGTAAACTACAGTCAAAAGGGAAAGAAGTGTCATAAAAAGATGACTTTTTCAGACCGCTTCCTTTATCTGATCTGTAATCTCATTACACACAACAAGAAGCTCAGATTTATTATTTAATGTGTTGATTTGAGATGAATCAGTGAACGGGGCAAATCCCAGACTCTGGAGTCGCCGTTGTCTGCTGACATGCTGCGTGGTGTTGATTGGATGTCATGCAGATGTCACCCGCTGGATTTATTTTCTGATGAAGGAGACGAGGATTTGTGTAATGGGGGTTGGGTTGTGTTGACCGTTCTCGTCAGAGAAGCTGCTCATCCATGAACGCTCATGCAAAGATTTGCTTTTTGAATCCTGCAGCCTTTTGTGTCAGTCGGTGAAGCCCATTGATCTGAATAGTTCTGTGATACTTTAAGGTTTAGTTTTATTTCGTATTTATTAATTTTGTTTACCATCCAGATATTGAAGAAACATACAAGAAACAATAGATTGGCATTTATTATTGTTATTGTGGAGGAAATCTTTGGAGCGGTGTCCGTCTCTAAATGTTTCTGGAGACGAGGAGTTTCCTGAACGTTACTGCTGTCACTCGGTTGTTATTTTTTTTTCATTTAGCCTTTATTTATACAGGTTAGTCTCATTGAGCCACGAGAACTCATTTTCAAGAGAGACCTGTTTAGGGAGCACATGGTGGGGGTTAAGGGCCTTGCTCATGGGCCCAGAGTGGGGCGAATGAGGGTGGGGGCAAGTGTGGGTGTTTCACCTACCCCACCCACAATTTTGATGTTGTCGGGGCCGGGGCGTGAACCGGCGATCTTCGGATCACAAGCCCACCTCTCTAACCTCTGCGCCACCACTCCCTAATATATATATTGTTATATATTGTGTTATAGTTTTAGCTTCTGATAAGTTTGTAGAAGTTTCATAGTGATGATTGTTTTGTTTTACTATTCAGATTTAAGATAAGATCCAGATGGCAGCACGACAGCTCAGTGGTTAGCACTGTTGCCTCAGGTCCTGGGTTCAATTCCCGGTTGTTCCTGAGGTCTTTCTGTGTTGAGTTTGCACGTTCTTCTCATGCTTGCTTGTGTTTTCTCCAGGTACTCCAGTTTCCTCCCACAGACCAAAACCATGCATGTTAGGCTGCCTTCAGGTCCAGGCCTCCCTTGCAAAAGAGATCTGATCTCAGTGGGATTTGTCTGGTTAAATAAATGTTAATAAATAATAATAAGATAAGACCCAAAGAACATTATCTGCAAAAGTACACATTTTTACGTTGTTTGTTGTGTACTTGTCCACATGAACACCTTTCCTTCTGTGATAATTTTCTGAAACAATCATCTTTATTGGACTATGATGTTTAATGTTCTCATTTTATATCTGCTTAGATACATTTAATATTTTCAGTGTCATTCACAGAAATTAAAGTAGCAACTCACTGTGTGAATGTTTATGAATCACTCACTCTATTTTGATCTATTTTTCTTCCGTACATTTTTCAGCATCTTTCTCGTTCCACAATTTTTGTGCCATTTCAACAGTTCATATATCAAAATGTTCAGCTCTTTCAGGAGAAGGGTGCTATCTTCACTTTTGGTATTGGTGCAACTTTAGCTTTTTTGAAATATTTAGCGTCTTCTGTCACTTTTTCTCATAGAAAATGAATTGAGCTCATTTTACGTCCTTTAGATTTGTTTACAACCTTTTACTGCTCCTTTCACATTTTGTTCTGCTTCAGCTTCTTTTAGCAAATTTAAACTATTTTCAGCTGTTTTGTGATCCTTTCAGATTATTTCTGCTAAATACATTTTTGTGCTTCTTCTAACTTTTCCCTGCTAATTTCAGCTTGTTATGCTCCTTTCAGCTTTTTTCTGTTAGTTTCAACATTTTCTGCTATTTCAGCTACTATTTAGCTGTTTTCATGTTAAATTTATATTTTTCAGCTAATTCCACATTTTTGGCACTCATTTCAACTTTTTTCAGCCTAATTCAGCAAAAATGTGCTCCTTCCACTTCCTTCTGTTAATTTAAGCTTATTACAGGTTTTTAAACTACTTTCAGCTTTTTTTTTTTTGCTAACTTGTACTTTTTTCATATAATTTACAATAATAATAATCTATTATTATTATTATTATTATTATTTTATTTATAATAAATTTATAATTTATCTTTGTGCTCATTTCTGTCATTTCTGGGCAAACATTTTCTCTCTGCTTTCTTCTGCTAATTTAAGCTTGTTCTATTTTTTTCAGCTACATTTCTTTTAGCATTTTTAGCTAATTTCAGGTATTTTCTTATAAATTCAAGTTTTTCATTTTAATTTCTGCTACTTTCAGCCTAATTAACTTCTTTCTGCTAATTTCAGCTTGTTATGGTCCTTTCAGCTTTTTTTCTGCTCTTTCAGCTACTATTTAGCTCTTTTGATGCTAATTTTAACTTTTTCAGCTAATTCCACATTTTTGTTTTAGATCATTCCAGTTCTTTCTGCATCCTTCTGGTAGTTTAAGCTTCTTTGTGCCTTTTCAGCTACTTTTCAGCAATTATTTGCTAATTTAAGCTTTTTTAGCTAATTCCCTATATTTTTGTGCTCATTTCTCTTTATTTAAACCTAATTCAGCAAATGTGTTCTTTCTGTTTCTTCTGATAATTTAGGTTTGTTCTTCCATTTCAGCTACATTTCAGATTTTTTTAGCTAATTTCAGCCGTTTTTCAGCAAGTTCTTCAGCAATAAGCATTTACACTGCATTTTCACAGGAAATGCAATTTCGCTCGTTATGATAGTATCACCACCATGGTTTCCTGTAAGTAAAGAAGCACCTTTATTTATTTATTGTCAGAATATTACTCAAAAAAGCTGCAGCTGGAGATTTTAAGATGAGTTTGTTTGCTACTTATTTATTTATTTATTGTTTTTCCATGCACTGCTTAAACACGCAGGTGTTTTTATTGGTTGAACCAGTAAAAGAACATTAAATATAGTTTAAAAATAGTCATATCAGCTTGGATTATTAATTTTAGGTGTTCTGCTTTTCTGTTTTATTTGAGAAAATTATTAATATTTATTAACTGGATGTCAGATTTTTGGGTTTTATTTACTTTGATATTTAAAATTGTTCTACAATGATACATATTTGATTTTTTAAATATCATTTCAACATCTTTTACAAAATTATTCAATTCACATTTCAGAAAATACTTTATACTGTTTATTTACAATTCAGTAAAATAATAAAATTAATCAGAATTATTCAGTAAACAGTTAAACCAGTACGGCACTGGGATGAAAGAAAAACAAAAAAGTTTATTTTATGAGCAGTATTTTGTGATCAATGATGTTTAAAGCTGCAAAACTTGTTATTTTTAATTATCGGTGGCAAAATAAGTTAGATTTTATTTGACTAAGGTTGTGAGAGGGCTAATTCATGGCTGACCATTTAAATTTAGGACTATCGCAGACACAGACTTCCCTCTGTCATCTGTGTGTGTGTGTGTGTGTGTGTGTGTGTGTGTGTGTGTGTGTGTGTGTGTGTGTGTGTGTGTGACCCAGTGTGGTGAATAAACAGTTTCTTCCAGCCAAAATTCCCTTAAGCATGTCCTCTTTTCTGCTGGAGCTTTACTTTTTCCCCTCGACTCTCATTTCTGGGCCTAAAATCAGGTTAGCATTTTATAAGGAGCTTAGCGCAGAGGGCCACAGTGTGCCACTAATGTAATGGAGTATCCCTCCCTCTCTCCCTCTCCCTCACACACATTCTCATCTGTCCTCTTTTCTCTGCACATTTGCTTTACTTGCCATGCAGTGACCTTCTCCCTCTGTCTTTATTTCCTTTTCTCACCGCCTGCTTTATTCCTCCACTTTGCTCCTTTCCATCTGCAGATGTGGACGACAGAAGTCTGATTTTAATCATTAGCTTTGGGTGAGAACTCTGCAGCGAGGAGGACAAACAGGAGGAAGAGAAGCCGAGCCCCTGGCTTGGTCGTCTGGTAAGTTTTTGCACGGGACTGTGTGAGAGTGCGTGTCTTTTCAGGTGACGTTCCTTTGGGAGTTTTCTATTGTTGTATGCACTGTGGGAACATTGTGATTAAGCCTTTGCTGTGGATTATTTTGACGCTGTGAAATAATACAAGAATCTCTCTGCAATGTCAATAATCCACAGGATTATGCTCCGTTTCTGTAGAGGTTATAGGTTGGCTCTGAAAAATTAAAACCCCAGTTCGTGTGGATTTGCAGAAGTTAAAAAACATGTTAAATTGTATTTTAAGGTTATTTTCTCTTCGTTTGATACGACCCAGTAGCATTTTTTGTGTCACACGGCCATCATGTGCCTGCATTCGTTTTAAGAAAGTGTTCTCGGTGATATGAGAGGTGCAGAATGGACTTTGCATGTTTGTTCATAACCTGATCTTGTCTTATCAGCCAGCCAAGCAAGATTACGCTCTGTTGACTCCTTGGCTACACAGATGGAGTGGTGCAAACACAGACTGGCTGTATCCACAACAGAACCGACTTAAAATATATAATTATATAAAAACAAAGGGAAAGAATGACCTATATATTTTGTCTCCTATGTTTCTAAACATATAACTGGTTTTGATCATGTGATACCTGTGCAAACCTCAAAGGTGAACTGGTTTCTTGGTCTGTGTTGCCTATGAACTGAACTGAGTGTTGTTTAATCCCCCAAATGAAGATTGTTGTATCATTTATCATTGGCTTATTATAATAGCAGTCATTGTGTGCCATTACAAGCAACCTGCTGTAGAGGAGCTGAACACCTTCTATTTGTTTGATGCAGCCATTATGTGCAAAACCTTGAGCCCCATTCTTCTTTCCACAATAATTATTTTTAGGTTGATAAGACTTAAATTAGCTCTTTTCTTTAAAATTGATTATGTTTTGCTGATCCGAACAAGGTTACACCTCACCTGGTTACAGTAAGAGCTAATTCTGTTAGCGATAATGAATAGTATAATAAACCTTTGGACCGCACGTCTCTTCTTATTTATGAGAACAAAGTCACTGTAGTGTTCATACCACTTTGGATGTCCTCCGCCATGTGACGCCAAGCTTAAAGATGGTAACTTTGTTGCTACAGGTGCTTTTGGTTAACGTTCTCTTCCTGAAAACACATTTCTTTGTTTTTTCAAAGGGTCAGACTGATGGAACCTTTCTCTGGAGATAGAGAAGAAAGCACAGAGGATGTTTCAGGTAAAAAAAAAAGTCAAAATGTGGACCATGTGAGCAGCAGATGAATTTGCCAAATGATTTGGAGACGTATTTGCCTCACGCTGCTGCGATCTGGATTCATTTCTGTGCTGATCTTTGCAGGACGTAAACATTCCAGAATCAAATCTCTGAAGACTCTCTTCAGGAGACGTAAGAAGACAAGCGAAGAAGCAAATGCTAAACTCAGCCAATCAGCCAGTGACGTGACTGCAGGAAAGGGACTGGGATCAGATGAAGATTTAGTGTAAGTGGCAGGACACGTCCAACAGCCATGTTCGTTTTCTTATCTTGAGCTCTTCCTCATAACTTCTGTTCTCAGAAGCTTCAAGGGAACAATGGGATCTCGAGCGTTGTCCCACGACAGCATCTTCCTGGATGACCAGGACCTGACAGACGCTGAACCTGCCAGGGTTTTATCTCAGGACAATGTTCACGGTAAAATCAAAGCTCTGCAGGTATGGCCTTTATATTCTTTGCATGCTACTCAGAATTTAGGTCAGCTGTGCTTCATTTAAAGCATCATTCCATGCTCTGCTGTTTAGATGAAGCTCCAGCTGCAGAAACTGCATTTTGGGCCACCACCTATGGTTCTGCCTATCAGAAGTCCAGAGGAGCCGAGCAGCCATTTAGAGGACTTTTCTTTTCACGGTTCCAACGATGCTCCAGGAGAGGAAACCCTCACAAAGGTATTTTATCATCCCAGGTAACTGCTGCAGACATGTAGTTTAAGTACATAAAACTTTGTTGCTTATGAACTTTTATTAAACATTAAGAAGAGATGCACATGCTAAAAATATCAGGGTCCAGATTTTTATTTATTTTTTGGTTGGGACTGTTTGTAGAATTTCCTTAAAGTAAAAGTCAGAGATAGTGTTTTGTTTAATGAGCTCAAGCTCAAGTTTATCATCATTCTCATCACATGTGGTACATGAGGTGGAACAAATTGTGTACTCAAGGTCCCAGTTACACCCAAAAATAGCAACAAAAAAAAGTATAAAAAGAAACGGTATATAAGGATCTAAGATATATGTTAAACCAGGGATATTCAACTGGCAGCCCGCGGGCCATTTGCAACCCATGGGTGGCTTCAATCTGGCCCACTTCATTAAAAAAAATAATAAAATTGTGTGTGTGTGTGGGGGGGGGGGGGGGGGGGGGGGGGTTCTGGGTTTGGGTTCTTATTATTGCATTTATGATTCAATGCAGTAAAATAAACAAATTTAAAAGGTACCAGATCATTGTAATGCTTGGTTTATTTACGTAATGATTTTAACTGTTGGATGTCTGGCCCCCGAGTTGTTGGCTTTCAGAATCTGTGGCCCCCTGAGCAGTTATAATGAATAGCCCTGCACTAAACACTAATAATGTAAAACAATACGGTGGATTAAACAACAGCCCGAACATGAGTCTGTAGTGAGTAGATGGGTATAAATGAATACAGCAGCATGAGATCAGCAGCATGAGATCAGCAGCATGGATAATCAGCAGCACAGATAAGTCACATATCACCAATTAAAGTGGTATTACAGTGATTTAATTTTTCCCTGCAGTGATTATCCTGGTTAGGAATGTATTAGTCTAACAGCTTCAGGGTAGATATGTTGCTTTGTAAAATTGTGTGACCTTTGTGTTATTTTTGCTGTCTAATTTGAAGAAAGAAAGAAAGTAAGATGACATTTTCTTTGAAATTCAGTTAGATAAATAACATCCATCCATTATCTTTACCCACTTCTTCCTTTTCCGGTCAAGGGGGTCACTGGTGCACATGTCCAGCCATCAACCCTAACCCTGGACAAGTCTCAGTCCATCACAGGGACACATAGAGACAAACGAGACAAACAACCATTCACTCTCTCACTCACATCTAGGGACAATTTAGAGTTACCAATCAGTCTAACATGAATGTTTTTGGTCTGTGGGAGGAAACTGGAGTACCCGGCACGCATGCATGGAGAAAACATACAAACTCCACCCAGAAAGGTCCCGGAACGAGATTTGAACCAACAACCTTCGTGCTGAGAGGCAGCAGCTCTACCAACTGCACCACCATGCCACCAAGATAAATAACATCTATAAGTTCATTTTATTTATATTGCACATTTAAAAATAACTGAAGCTGGCCAACGTGCTTTTTAATCAAACAAAACAAGACAGCAACATATAAAATAAAATAAAATCTTTATAAAATAAAATGAAAGACCTTATAAAATAAAATAAATAAGAATAAAAAGCAATCAGAAAGAAAAACATGGAAAACTACGTAGGATCTACTAAATTTCCAGCCTCTATTTGAATCACAAGTCCTAAGCAGAGATTGGAGATGTGAAATATTCCATAAATTATGGCATCCTGCAAAAGTTTGATTCCTTTCATCTTTTATTTAGATCTTTGAAGATCTAAGAGAAATTTTCTGCAGTCCTCTTGCTGGTGTGTGAATGTTGACAAGACCAGAAATGCAAAGATTTCCTAATAATTTGAACAATTTGTGTCAATCATAACAAAAAGCTAAATATGTTATCATTTAACATTTTTAAATTGGGCTAATTTCAACTTGTAACTTATAGACTGCTCTATATTTGAAGAAAAAAGGCATGAGATTTACTCCTGCATTGCATCACCTTTATATTTAACAACGCTCCGCATGTGTTGATCTTATAGAAGCTGATTGTATTTTATTATTTATTAATCTTTACTGAACCAAGCAAATCCATTTGAGATCACAGATTTCTTTTCCAAGGGAGGCCTGGGCCTGAAGGCTGCCTTAACATGCATGGGTCCAAACTGGGGCTTGAACCCAAGACCTTCTTGATGTGAGGCAGCAGGGCTAACCTTTAATTAATCTCGCTTATTAAAATTTGAAAGCCTACTTGATCAGCAGGTTTAATGCTAGCAGACCAGTTTAATGCCTTTTGCTCTTCTACTCTACTTGTTTTTAAAATCATTTGTGTTTCTTGTGTTGTTACATCCAGACAAATATGATAAATAGCTGCTTTTAAACTGTATATTGATAATAAACTGTATTGTCATCATATTCCAAAATCAGCATTTTAATACTTTAAAATCAGACGTATGGAAGGTGATCATGATAAAGGCTTTGGTTGTTCAGAGACAAGTGTTTTGTGTTCACAAAAAAGCTCAAACCAAAGCATTTATTGCAAAAGCTAGTTTACAATAACCACCACCCAGATGGACCTTTATTTACATAAAGGATAATTTAAAATACAGACAAAGAAAATTATAGCACATAACACCTGTTAAGATTGAATTAAGAATCCAAATAAATAAATACAATCAACCACATTTGTCATTATAGAGAGAAAAGGAAAGGTGGCAGACCTGCATGACCACCTGGTCCTTCTAGAGAAACTAATCTAAAATGATGCCAGTCATAATTCAATTTAAGTTTTGCAGCTAGAGAATATTAAGTTAATGTTTAACAGAAAAGGTAGTTTCGTTTCTCCCAGAGAGCTTTAAAAACGACACCTTGCAGTTTCTGTTAATGCTTCATGAGTTGCTAAACGAGTGGCTCCAAGTGGAACCGCTGAGCACCCGAGGAGCCTGCAATTAAAATAAGCCTAAAATAAATTTTAAAAAGATAATGCTTTTAAATTAACCATATTAATTAATAAAATATAATAAAAAATATTAATGAATCAGATTAAAAAAAGCAAAAATAAAAAGTAGTAATAATAAAAATAATAATAAAATTTGTCCAATAGGGCAATCTGTATCTGTTATTTCCAGATGAACACGCTTGAGAGGTTAGATTTCTTTTGTTTTGTTCTTCTGGTCAACAGTTTGTTGAAAAGTTGTTTATTTCAGTGGCAGTATAATACAGTGTTTAAAACATGTTAGTTAATAACATTTTTATGCTCAGCAGCTGTAATAATTAATTTAACATAGTGAGTAAAAGGTAAAAACTTCTAAAAGTTGATGTTTCTTGACATATTTTGTAGCATTTGTGGGTTTGTGAGGGGGGCCTCGGCCAGAAGCTAATGCTGTTTGGGGTCCATGGAAAAGTTTGGGAACTCCTGGGTTAGTGTTGTGTTCAAGACCACTTAACCCGAGACCAAGTCAAGCCCAAGTCAAGTACCAAGACCAAGACAAGACCAAGACTTTTAGGGTCCGAGACCAAGACCTCAAATAAAATAAAAAAATTTATTAAAAAGTATTTTTTATAGAAGTTGCATACTGCAACTTTAAATTTGCTTTTGAATACATATATCAGCTTTTATACATTTTCAAAGCTTCATAACAAAGAAATCAGACATTCAGTGGCCTGACTTCATGTGATTCAACAATAAAATTACACAACTGTTAAACTGGAAGCAGTTTCATCACATGTCAAGACTTAAAAAGCTGCAGTGGCAAAACAATCTTCATAAGTCCGAACTCAACACCAAGGATAACCATATAGTTGCATTAGTTACAAATATATTCTTTGTGATTTAAATAGGTGAATTTTATAACTGATGATATGGCAGACATCTTCTCCTGCGCCCAGACAATCAATCACTTCTCACTTTCTTGGAGTGCCAGTGTTGCCAGATAGAGTCGAGGTTTTCCAGCCCAAAAATCTTTTAAAAACTACCTCATCACACAAAAATCTGCCCAATCAATATATTGTTACAGTATATTTACTGTTTGAACATGAACACACATCAGTACAAGCCAAGGTAATTAAACAAAATGTGGCGAAATGCAACAATCCAACAAAAATCTTCCCAGAGTTCCCAGCAAAATCAGAATGAAAACCGCCCAACTGGCAGTAAACCACCCAATCTGGCAACACTGGGAGTGACACGTGCGAGTGACAGGGGGTGAGCGTGACAGCGATAACAAAAAATGTATTTAGCAATGAGTCACGTTATCACTTGGATTTGAATCAGTACGTTTTGCTTCTAAAAAAAACAAAGATGTTGACAAATTGAACAATATTCAGGCAATTTAGTGATATTTCCACAGTTGTGGTCCTGACTGGTCTTAAAATAAAATCCCGAGTCAAGACCGAGACCAAATGCGGTCGAGTTTGAGACAAGGCCAAAACCATCGAAAAGTGGTCTTGAGACTGGTCTTAAGACCAAGACTGGTCGAGTACTACAACACTACCCTGGTTCAAATCCTTTTTGTATAAATTCAAAAGCAGGGGACCAAGACCTGTATTCCTTTTGAGTCTAGACTGTAAGGATTGCATATGAAAAGTGTTAGATCCTGACATGCATTATTATTAGCTATAAACCAGTTTTAATGTTTCTATCTTTTCAGACATCTTCTCAGCCATGCTCTCCTCCAATCTCACCGCTCTCCAAATCTGCAGCAGCCAAATCTCCACTCCCAACCCCATTCAGTCCATTTTCTGTACCCACCAGCTCCACTACATCTGCTGATGAGCTTCCGTTAGACTTTAGCTCGCCAGCTGAATTCGCTGCCTCTTTAGACACCTCTGCTGCACGCCACAGGCTGTCCATCAAACCCAGACATCAGAGGGCCAGCACAAAGAAGAAACCCTCATCTGTGGTGAGAAACTGTGGCGGTTTCTTTAATGCTTGTGATAATGCAAAATGGCAAAATAGTTACCAATCTTTGATATTTCTTTTGTTGTCAGACTCAACCTGGGTCTCCTTTACACGTTCTAAAAACCACTGACCA